TTTTTAAATTTAGAAAAAAAAACTAACCTCAACTGAATATGCTAGTAAACTATATATCTCAGTATCTTACAAGATTATCTAAAATTTCCTTTATTCTTGAAGTATATAATAGCAAATTTTTACTTTTTAAATTTAAATACATGAATATTATTCTATTTTGATTAAGATTATCATTTATTATGTTATCATCATTCTCTAATAAATCTTCAAAAAAGAGTAAGAAAAATTATAAAATTTTATATTATCATTTGAAAAAAAGAAGAAATTTACTATTTAATTTAAAAATCTAAAAAATTTATATTTTTAAATAGATTAATAACAAAATTCTCATCTTTATTTATCTATTATCTTCTCAAATTATGAGATTTTCATATTTTATTATTTAAAAATTATCAATTGTAAATTCCATAATTCCCTTATGCAGGATCCACGTTGGGGTTGGGGAGGCAGTAGGAGGTCCAGGCTAAGGCAAAAAAATTTGTGTGAGAGATGATGTGGCAAGGTGGGGCCCACAAGAAAGGGCGGAAAAAAAAAAAAACCGGCGTGACCATTTCATTTAACTGTCAATAAACAGCACCGTTAGTTACAGTAGACGGAGGGACGACTTTGGGGTGTTTCTGCATTGTAGAGGGACGACAAGTGGAATTAATTAATAGTAGAGGGATGACATGAAGCCAATCCATAGTAGAAGGTTTAGAATGCACTATTTTTGATAGTAGAGGGACGATAGATGGCTTTAACCCTTTTAATTTAATTTAATTATTTTAATTTATAAATTGACAAGTCACAAGCTATTGGGTCCAAGCTTGATTAGTTTAACAAACAAGTTAAACTCTAGCACTACTTTTCTCTAAACGAACCTATGTTGAGTTTTCACTTTTTTGAGCTCGATAAAACTCGAGTTCGGCTTGATTTCGCTATTCTGGGGTCAAGCTCGAGGTAGAATATTCCAATATGCACCTTGGCTCGGCTAATTTACAACCCTATTAAAGAATGATTATTAGAAAGGTAATCTTTTAAAGGTCCCTTCATTTATCAAGTTTCAAATAAATTAGTCCCTAAACCTTACAAAATTAATCATTTTTTCTCTTCTCCTTTTGGGCAGAATTAAGAATCATAACAAGTTACCCAGGAAATCTCTACCAAAGATAAAGAGCAATGGGATCTTAAAAAAAAATTTTAAAAAAAATCACAGGAAATAATTGTATCTCGACTGATGCAATAGATATAAATTTAAATATCCAGCAAACTCTTGGCAACTATAGCTCGACGACAGCCCAACGGACCCAACCTGAAAATTCCAAACTTTAATGAAAAATTCAATCCACAAAATCTTGGTTCAAAAAGGTTCATGCCTCAAGGAAAAAATCAATCCACAAAATCTTGTCTGAAGGAGAGTACCAACAGTTGCGGCATTACCATTGAACTCCTCCAATTGAAGGGGCATCAATCAACAAAACATTGTATATACATGTAAGAAAAGGAAAAGCATAGATGGTAGTCCACATCGCGCTTCACTTCACGATTTTTCGTCTTGTCTCTCTGCTCTACTCTCCCTTACGGGATCCTCGCTTCAATTCCCTATCGAAGCTACCTTCTCTTTTGATTCTAAGTTCATGAGTTCTCTCTCGCCTGTCCCTACCACCTTCTCTTTCGTCCATGGAGAAGTAGGACTTTTCGCGCTCATCACGCCTTGATGATTTCTGACCCGAATGTTTCGGTTCAGATAAATCATAAAAATATTTTAAAAAGTTTACGCTTTTCAATAAAAAAATAAAAAATAAAGTAAGCCTAACAATACTAAAATAAACATGGAAAAAGGTGCTTTGTGGCCAAAAGAAAAAAAACATGGAAGAAGGTGTACTAGTTGCAGCCTGCAACTAGTTGGAAATTTTTACTGGAAAAAGTAGTAGTAATGATGATAGATGTTGGAAGAAAATCCAACCACGTGTGTGAGCCTATAGACTTTTTGCGTGGAAGTTTGTTTTACCAACCTAATTAGTTGTGGGTTAGGATTGTTTTTTGT